TCCACTGCCACCAGGACGTAGCGCCTGCCCGCCTCGGTGCGTGGAAACAGCCCCAGCATGTCCACCCCCACCCGCTCATTGGGCGCCCCCACCTGATGTTGCTGGAGGGGCGCCCTTGAGCGCCTGGGCGGACCATTCTGGGCCACGCAAACTGTGCATGTCAGGCAGAACCGCTCCACGTCCCAGTAACAGAGACCCCAATAGAAGTGGCCCTGGAGTCACCACAGGGTTTTCGCGGAAATGAAGTGCCCCACGCCCGGCTGGCCATGCGCCGCTTGGAGAACCGCCCCGTGGAGCGACTGTGGCACCACAAACTGCCACCTTACCTCGCCACTGGAAGGCACCCGCCACCTCCAGCACAACACCCCATCCCTCACCTCCAAGGCCTACCACAGTGCGCAAAGTGCCTTCACGGACTCGGGGTTAGGGGCGAACTCCCCCTGTGCGGGCCGGGTCCCCGCTGCCCTCCAGCAGAGCACTGGCCCGATGTCAGGGTCTGCCTCCTGCTGCTGCACCAGGTCTGCCAGGCCCACACCAAACGGCCTGCTCAGGGACGTGGCCGCAGCGCTCGCTTCCCCCTCGCCACAGGCGGCCTCCTCGTGCTGCTTCATCTGGGTGCAATAGCGGCTGTCCGCTGCCTTGCAGGGCCTCCGTGAGAGAGCGTCTGCATTACGGTGGCGAGACCCCGCATGGTACATGACCGTGAAGTTGCACTCCTGCAGGACCTCCATCCACCGCGCCATTTGAACCTCTTTGAAATTGAGCAGCCAGGTGATGGACGCATGGTCTGTCCGCAGTTTGAACCGGGTCCCGAAGTGGGGATTGAAGTGACGGACCACCTGCGACTACAGCCAGCAACTCCCTCGGGGTGACGCAATAATTTCTCTCGGCCTTATTGAGCACCTGGCTAAAGTACGCCACAACCCTCTCTCTGTCTGGCCCCTCCTGTGCTAGCACGGCGCCCAACCCAGTAGCACTGGCTTCCGTATCCAGGACATACGGCAGCGTCGGATCCGGGAAGGCCAGGACGGGGGCCCCCACCAGTGCCTCCCACAGCCCCTGGAAGGCTGCCTTTCACACAAAACGCCGCCCCTTCTCCGTGAGGCTGTGCAGCGGGGCAGCGAGGCTGGCGAAGTCCCGGAAAAACCTCCGGTAATAAGATGCAAAGAGAGAGCGAGAGAGAGAGAAGTTAAGGGCGGTGGCAAAGCAGCAAGGCAGCAGATTACCTGTCTTTATCATCTCATGGGTTTCAGGTTTTTGAAGAAAAAACAGCCAAAATGTCGAGCAAAAGGGCTTAGGGAAAGACTACCAAGAAGCACCCCCAGTGCGCAACTTCCAATGTCTTCGCCATGTTTGATCAGTCACAGATTCAGGAGTTCAAGGAGGCTTTTAACATGATTGACCAGAACAGGGATGGCTTCATTGACAAAGAGGACTTGCATGACATGCTGGCATCGCTTGGAAAGAACCCAACAGATGAATACCTGGAAGCTATGATGAACGAGGCTCCTGGACCAATAAACTTCACAATGTTTCTCACCATGTTTGGGGAGAAACTCAATGGCACAGACCCTGAAGATGTCATTAGGAATGCGTTTGCTTACTTCGATGAAGAAGGGACAGGTTTTATCCAAGAAGACTACTTGAGAGAGCTTTTACACACGATGGGCGACAGATTCAGAGATGAGGAAGTTGACGAACTCTCCAGAGAGGCACCAATTGACAAAAAGGGCAACTTCAACTATGTGGAGTTTACACGCATCTTAAAGCATGGGGCGAAGGACAAAGATGATTAGGCGTGGGTTGTAAAAATATGCAAATGTTCATATTCTATTTCATGTTTGTCTCCAATTTGTACCCAATAGAACATCATTGCATGCCTTAGCTTTAAAACAAGACTACAAAAAAGCTAAATGATGCTATTTACCATATTTATAAACCTCTTTCAGTTCATTCTGGCAAATTTGCACATCTGTAATAAATTTGAAGGTAGACCATTAGTTTGCAATAATGATTGGGGTGGCTATGGAAAATACAACATACAAAATGTGAACATGCTCTGGAAAAAAAAGACTTTGTCAAACCTAGATCCTGGGTAACTGGATTTTTACATTTTGTAATAAACTGAGACTTTTGAGAAAGAGCGAAAGCGAGTGAGAGTAAGAGTGTAACACCCAGGGGTGCGGAACCAGGGAACTATTTACATGGAAAACGGGCGATCTCACCAGACTGTGCGCCCGTTTCACTGTGGGACAGCTGTCCTGGTCAGCGGCCTTCCAAAACCCCGCCCTGACCACGTCCACCCCTGTCCTGCCCCTCACCGCGTACCCCAGCCGGGCGCTCTTCGGCCGCTTTCCGGGGCAAATGCGCTACAATAGTTTTTTTGATGATAGTTTGATATTTATTAGAGTGTGTACTGTTTGAGGGAATGTGAACTATTTTTTTAGAAATAAAGTTTCTTTATAGGAAAAAAAATAAAGCGCTTGTGCGTTTAGACAAATTACCAGAACTCCCGTTTATTCATCCTCGCCGAACCCGCCGCGCTACAATATTAAAAATGAATATAACGCCGTCCGTTAACATTTCACATTCTTGCATAACTTTCGAAACATCTTTACATATTTGAATAATACAGACTGGTATAAACAATTCGTGATAGATTAATTCACTCACAACGCACTTCCTTAACAGGTGAACTTGTGGCCGGAAATTGTTCCGCACAACAAACATTTGTGCCAGAGAGAGGGGTGTGACTGCTCGGGGAAGTCAGCTCCCTGCAGACAAGAGCTGCAGGTCGACGTTCACTTCGTACGATTTCAGGTTTTACTGGAACTCTCTGTTTTGTCATTTACACTTCTGACATATAATTAAAAGAGTTCCGTCTACAACACTTTCACCATCCGATCTTTCTCCCGAAGGGGTAATTTAGCGTGAGCCTTTGACAGTTGTTATTTTTAATATTCGCTGAATTGTATTTTTGTAAATCGGTTCCGTACCAAAAGTTATTTTTTAGGAAGCTGCGTGATTTATGTGTCTGAACTGAAAATACCCAGAGTAGGATTAGTAGTTGGTTGGTACAAGATAGTTTTGAAAGGAGTGTAATCAGTAAACTTTTGTAAGTATAAAGATCTACAGAAGAACGGTTGTCCTTAAATATCACTGCGTGAAACCCTTTACATTCTCAAAATAAGACGAAACGTTTTAAAGAAGAGTGTATGCTTCAGTACTGCAAAACTATAACATTTATTAAACATTAATGGGTCACAATTGCAACGAACTGAAAGTAGCCTTCTAACTGGGTTTGATGCTGTGGGTTAGTTTGCAGTTCCATTAAGCCGCAAGTTCGTTTTAATTGTGACGAATAGGACTGTAGCCTTCAGTGCTTCATCTACTAATCTTTCATTATGCATTTGTCCTGTGTTGATTATGTAACGATCTGATATTGTATGCTTCCTCTTCGCGTACTTTAATGCATTATAAGTAAACTTGAGGACTGTGTGTGTAATACTATAGTAATACAGTAATTAATAAAAAATAAATACTTAATTCATTATCCCGTATTACCCTTTGATATTGGCATACAGTAGATAAACGTGTTTGGTCCAGTCTTGATTTGCAATCACAGGACAACACACGACGAACTTCCCGGTACCCTTATTGTAGTTGCAGTAGTTTCTTGCGGACAATAATAATCGTAACATCGTAAAGATGGCGGCCTCCATTCTTCGGTTAGGACAAGCTAGGACTGTCAAGGTAATGTATTTATACTTTTAATGTTCTCCATTCTAACTATTGTAAAATTTTGTTATTGTTCCTTAATTACAAAGTGTGTTTTACCTTGTCAGTGGAATAAAAGCACTGTTGATAAATACTGCAATAAACCTATTCCTTTTTATTTTTATTATACAATTTTAAATATTTTCTATAAGATTCTAGCTTAATATGGATGGCTGCATTTCAGTGTACATGTTTGGAAAACTAAGTTTGAGCATGACCCTATAATTGTTTACGGAACCTGTAAGTATGGAAGTCGTTTGCTAACGTTTTCTTTGTCGTTAAAATGCTTCGTATTTGATTCTATATGGGAAACGGATCAATATTTGTACAAAAGAGCCGTCTAAATGTCATTTTCACTACCCTTTTAATGGAATAATAAATAATAGTTTGCGTATTAGCCGTATATATTGCATGATCAAAACAGATGACTGAGGCTTCAGTATTCAGCGTATCTTTATGTAAACGACGTCATTTTAAAATCATAGATGGGGCATAGTTGCTGTATCCCTGAGCATGGTAATTCACTTAACTTTCTCCAGTAAAATGGTCAGCAGTATAAAAGTGTACAAATGGTAACCAATAGTTTTGTTAAAAGCATTACCTAAATACTGAAAAATAACCAGATTTAAGATGGTTATCCTGGCCTCTTCAGTAATTTGCCCTTATTCTCAGTAAAAAGTCATAAGACATGTACAACTGAAGAATGAAAAAGAGTACAAGGAGCATAAATATTCTGGGAGGACTGAATGCATAAACAGGCAAAACACTGCTGATGTGATTCTCTGTTAACATTTGTGTTTGGTTAATGAAGGTGTATCTTGATGAGAATAGTTTGAAGCAAAATTACAGTAAAAAATGTTCTTTTGATGCATTTTCGTTTGAGTAAATTACTAATTAACCAAATAGTGAATTAGTGAATTAGATTAGGGGTTGCAAACCATTCATGGGGTCCCTGTAACCTGTAACAGGTTATCACAAAATTAGTAGAGTGTTAATAACCTGATGGGAAAGTATTACAAATTGGTTCTTATAAAATCTAATTGTTCTCATATAAATGTTTGCTAATATATAGTTCAGTCTCAAGAACTTTACATTTATAAAATTTCTTTTGCAGTCCCTAGTTAAAATGTTACCATGTTATATATAATTCACCAGCTTATGATGATTCTTGTTCTTTTCTAAACATTTTAAGAACGTTTTGAGATGCCTTCAATAATGGTTTGTCTAGGCTTTTAGTATAATCATATATAATCATTTTTAGACATCAGGTCAACAGGTAATTTGTACAGGCCAGAACAGGTTATGACTAAAAATCCTCAGGTCCAACTGGTGCACAAAGTCAGTGGGCAGCTCAGTTCAATAATACTGGTCATATCTCTTCACATTACTGAGAGAAGGTGAAAGAGAGGCCTCCAAGACCTGAAACTGAGTTTGTACAGAACACTATGGTCTCAGGGCATAAAAACATGATCCTCATTGTTCTGTTATCTTCCTGCAGTGTCTTCATCTGGAGACTTGGGCCTTCAGAAGGACAGCTCCATCTGCATCTTTTTGCACAAAACCAGAAGTGCCCAAGAAAGGTGGAAAAAAGAGTAAGATCGCTTATATTAACTTTTTTTTAGCAATACCAAATTAAAATAATATATTTTGCTTGTTATTTGTGTCTTTTTCTTAAAACATATGATTTCATCTTGTGTCAACTAAGAAGGCAAAGTAAAAGTAACTTGAAAACGTGTGCTGTCATTTTCTGTGTTATATAGAAAATTAACAGGTAAATTTAGTGGTTTCAGTCATCTTATTTGACTAAATTTAATTATTATTCCAATAAAAACAAAAAAGGTATTTAAAATGAGCAGATTACTTGGATTTAATTTATGGGGGATTCTGATTTGGAGGTGTTCAAACATAATTCCACAGATGGTAACTTCACACCACTGGTTCCTCAGCAAAGCATATAAACCATGTCAAAATCTGCAGTTCTGTGGTTCACCTCATCTAGCTGATTGCTGAAGTAACTCTACCTTTCCATGCACACACGCCACTTCTTACCTTCCATTTTGATTAGTTAGGGTTTCTCTGAGCTTTAAGTTTTTCTGTGGATTAACTTTCACTGGTTCTGTTGAGAACTCCTGAGTAACTCCTGTTAAAACCTTTGAATGTGAGCAGCAGTATTGTGGATTTTATTCTAAAATCAACGGAGGCAGTGCAAGGAGGTGAAAACAAGTGATAAAGTATATGCTCATGCATTTTAGGTAAAGGTTTGGTAAAGTTTGGTTAAAGCAGTGGAGGCCTCTAGTGGTGGAAAAGAGAGATACTGAGTCTAAAAACGTTTGCAGTACTATGTGTGAGCCACTCCAACCAAAGGACTTACTGTTTTCATTTAGAATTCTTAATTATTCTTTTAATTAGTCTTCAGTTTAGAACAGTACTGTTTCTGCAACAAAGACAATCTGAGTCATCTCTTTTAAGGGGAACTCAGTTCAGCTAATTTCCTGTTGGCCCTGCAGTGGCTGGACTATAGAGCTTAAAATGCACACCAAATAAGCACTTTTGCCAGGTGAAAGGTCTCAATTCTTACAGTAAGCACAAAGTTTCTCACCTGAAGTGTTACTCTTTGAGAACAGACTAAAACAGTGACATCAGAAATTAATAACGTCTAGAGCACAGCAAAAAAAAAACTGGCTTTATGAAATGATAAGCATATGTCAGTACATATGATACATGGTCTTTCTTTAATGCTATCCTGTTGTTGACTGTTGTTTTCAGCAATGAAAACATAAACTCTGTAATTCATTTTTTCATTTTGTAATCAAAGCTGTTTTTGCCATTACTTGGGACAATCATTAACTTGGCATTGTCGTCTAAAAATTGATTTACTATAGAACCCTATTATTTTAACAGGAATACAACTTAAAGCAAACAATTCAATATTATTTCAGTCTCTAGCTCTGTTAGATGTCTTGCTTATTACCAGAGTTCTGTTGCACTTGCATTTTTAGTTATATACTCTGGGTATTTGAATGAAATATGAAAGGCTGCTGCCTAACAGCTCTTGGATCTTGTGTTCAGTTCCAGACTGGAGTATGATCTGTGTGGAGTTTGTATGGTCTGTCAGTGTTTTTGTTTTTAGTCATCAGGTGATTTAGCTACCTCCCACGCAGACATGCCAGTTAACTAGGTTAAGAACTGTTTTTAATTTGTCACTCTGGATGCCTGTCCCTTTTTTGTCCCTCAGTGTGTTTTTAGAGGATAGTTTAGTATTCCAGTTTTACTTACGAGGGGTATGTAATTTCTAATAATGAATGGATAAAATGACTCAATTAAGCAATAGCTTAATGTACCACAAGTTCAAAAAGATATAGCATTGAATACAATGCATTGATATAGTTTAAATACTGTGATGTAAATTATTATTTTTGTTTCTGAATTTTAGCTTGTTTCATGTTAAGGAAATAAAGGGTTCAGTTGTGGCTAGAATTTTGCATGGTACATTTTAATTTATAATATTGAAGTGGCCTGAATGGAGCCAAAGAATAAATTAGAAATTCATAATATGATCCAAGATTAGACTATTTAATTGGGGATCACACATTAATGATGCTATGTAAGCATTAGTTTTTCTGGAAATACAAGAGCAACAAAAATAAAGTGTTAGGGCCAATTTAGGTCCTCGTCCTGCACTACTGCCTAGTTATATCCTGCAACATATCCTTAGATATTTCATTGGAACTCTGATGGAACAGTTATGTAAAACTTTAATGAGTTGGATTTTTTAACAGTTAAATACATTAAGACTTATTGACAACCAGAGTTCCAATGAAAAATCTATGGATATATCAGAAGCCCACTGAACACTTGGTAAATACATTTCAGTGTCCTGGAAAGCATATATAAGCAATATATCTGTTAGCTTTGAACTATAAGGTAATTATGGGAGCAAAGAAATGTTGTCTTTAAAAACCTGAGATAACTGCATATATTGAAATAACTGGCTTTAGGGGAGAGAATATAATTGGGCTAATCTAGAAAATGGAATTGCTGTTATCGTAAAGTTGTCCAAGCTGTTTAATGCTTTTGGAGTTCCAAATTGAGAAATATATAGTTTTCTTCTTGATTATGAAATCAGGATTATGCCAAATAGGAGTTGAAAAGGAGATTTTCCATTTGTAGATTTGATGAAGCTTGGATCTTTAAAACAAAACAATTTGTAGCTGAATTGCTAGCAAAGGGAGATGTTGTAACAGCACTGGCCTACTAGACTCCTGCACTAATTCCAATCAATTCATATCTAATTGACTCTGGTTAAACCATTTGAGTAAAAACTGAAGGTTAAAGGAGTCTGCATAAAGTACAAAGTTAGGAGTTGATAAGACACCCTGTTTTTCATTCTTTTAAATAGTTATAATTTTAAAATGGAGTGTTTTGCTTTTCCAATAAAATTTGTTTAGTACACTGTCCAGTTGAAAAACAATTTTTCAACCACCACCATTGGGCTGTGCGGTGGCTAAGGATCTGCCCATGTGGCTGGAAGGTTGCTGGTTCGAATTCTGCGGCCAGTGAAGGAATCAGACATTTGCATTGACAGCTTTAATGGATAGTGGAGCATAGGGATGTTTGTATCTGTTTGACTTACATTTGGGAACCCTAAAACGTTTGCCAGAAGGAAGAAGTTGGTATTCAGAATTAGGGATGTGGGAAGGATCTGATATAATTTTTCCTGCCTTTTTGATCATGGATTTTTCAAAGATTGTCTGCAGGGAGGGATGCTGTTTCACTCCCATGACCTTCAAAGCTGTCTGGTAATTTGCGATTTTAAATGAACCAAACCACACTTTAATACCATATCTGATACTGCTCTCAATAACAGCATTGTAAAAGAGTAACATTACTTCCGGTCGAACTCCAAACATTCTTAGTCTTCACAGGAAATATAAGCGCTGCTGAACTTTGGAGCAAACACTCTCAACATGAGTAGTCCACCACAGGTTACTGTCTATTTGTACACCTAAGAACTTATATGAATCAAGCTGAGTGATAAGTTTGTTGTGGACTACTGCCTGTGAGTGATCACCAACTGCTCTGGGTTCAAAAACTATTTCTTTTGTTTTTTTAACATTCAGAATTAGGCTATTGTTGTCGCACCATTGTACAAACCTTTGGATTTCTGACATGTGTACAGATGAGCTGTTACCTCTATGCATTAAGCCAAGCACAGCTGTATCAGCTGAGTATTTGAAAATGAAGTTGCTTTGACTACTGCTTGTACAATCATTTGTATAAAGTGTGAACAGAACTCGAGAGCTCACACAGCTCTGAGGGGCACCTGTGCTAATAGATCGTGACTCGGAAAGAGTTTTGTTAACCCTGACATACTGTGTACGATTTGTTAAAAATAACTGAGGCTTTAGGAGAATTATATAGGGTCTGAATCCAGCAGATGAGGCCATGGTCATAATCCCTTTGCTCCACGTGTCTAAAAAAGAAAGGCCAATAGACTGTCAAAGGCCTTCTCCACATCTAACGTGACTACCACAGTAGGGGAGGACAATTGTTTGGCATGATGGATCAGATTAATTAGACGCCTAGTATTAAATCTAATGCTTGTCTCCCTTTAAGGAAGCCAGTTTGATCAGAATTAATCTGGGTCTCAGTGGTCAATCTATTAGCCAGAACTTTAAGAATTCTTTATAAAAAATAAGATCCATGTTCAATAAGCTTAGCGGATGGTAGTTGGAGCCAAAGGATGGGTTCTTATCTTAATTTTAAGTGTAAGAGAACTCAGAGCTGTATTCATGTCTTCATGTCTTCATGGAACTTATTTGTAGAGGTGACATCAATCTATTAAATAGAGTAGGTGAGAGAAGATGCCAGAAACAAAGCTTTATGCATTTCATCCAGTGAAAGAGGAGAATCTAGTTTCTTTGACTCTTCAGCTGTATGATTAGGGAGTTTAATAGTTTTAATTAGATTTTTGTCTACATCATTAAGCACAAAATCAGTACTGTAAAGATTAGAGTAAAAAAAGTTGAATTAATCTTATCTTGATTAGTAATAGAGATGCCATCATCATTAGTTATGGAGGAAATAAAATTTCTTTCCATTTTCCTCTTCAATAGTTGGGGCAACATTCGGCCTGGTTTTTCTCCCCCTTCAAACTGCATAAAGCAAGTTCTTCGAAGTAAAAAAAATAATTTCTTCAGTTAATTTAGAATTAATTTTATGTCTAGTTCTCAAAACATAGTTGTTCATTGAGGGAGAGTTTACACGTATGTTTTCCATATCTAGAAGTTTCTGTTCTAGATTAAACAAATCTATAAGCACGTCTTCTTTATTCAAAGAAGCATATGAGTTAATTTTACTGCCTAACACCGTGTTGCCGGTTTCCCAAAGTAGAAAAAAAAAGTGGTAAAAACATTTCCCACTCTCTCTGGATAAAGGAACAAAAATCATTATTTTTAAGTAATGAAATGTTTAAGCTCCAGCTTTGTGATTTATAACTGGAAGACCTGATATAAAAATTAAGCTTATTGGAGCATGATCTGAAATGGTTAATTGGATGGATCGTACAGCCAGAAATGAATTACCTTAACTAAAAAATAATCAGTTCATGAATATATTTTGTGGATGGCTAAAAAAAGGTATATACTCAACCAAGAGGGTTGTTAAGTCGCCATACATCACATTACCCAATCTCTTCCATATATTTAAGTGTGGAACCAGAAGAAGTTTAAAAATTAAGAGTAACTAAGGATTTATCTATTAAATGGTTAATGACAGGTTGAAGTCACCACCCATTATAAGAGTGACATTTGAAATAAGAATCCCATTAAGTAAAAATATAATAAAAAAATAAATCAATAAAATCGGCTGCTGAAAGCAGAATATAGGTAGCCCATCTTGAACTTGAGAAATTAAACAACCATGGCATTTTCAGTATAGCTGTGGTGTTATACTGAACATTCAAATCCCTAAATGGCAAGTCATCTACACGGTAGTTTATTTTCAAATTAGCACACTTATTTTTTTTTCCTTTATTGCTTAAGAAGAGGTAATAGAACTTTTCTATGTTCGTTGATGTCTCGAGGGGATTGTTCATTCATACCATATCTGGGGATCACTTTCTAATGACTAAGAAATAATTAAATGTCCTACCATATCGCATTCAGGTGATATGGTAACATGCACAGCATTTTAATTTCACTTGTCTCCAAAGGCAATTCATTTCTGGCCCATTGATATTAGCAAAGAGTATGTTATCATAAAATACCACCACCTCTTCAGCAGCTAAAGACACCCTTGGAAGGCTAGTTAGATGTCTGAGGTACCACAACCAATAGGGGTATCAGTTCCTAATTGAATTTTCAGCTTCTGCTTTGAGAAAGCTCTGCAACTGTAACAATACTTACTGTCATAAATGTTGTTGTATTTATTCATTTTGGTGATCAACAACCACATTACATCACAATTGCAAAAACACACCTCTGACAAAACTTTCATAAGTGACAAAAGGAGCTTTTTTTTGCAGTGCAGCTTGCTCCTTATTTGGTCAGGATAGACATTGCTCCTCTTTATGACAAGAAATATTACACCTCTTGTGGTCTAAAGTTTGAGGGCAATCAAAATGAAAATGACATAAATTAATGTATCTGAGATTTACATTCATAAAGTACAACATCTGGCAAAAATGTGTGATTAATACGCACCAATGTCTATGTAATGTAAGATGTCATTAAATTTCTGTTAATGTTTGAATTAACTAATTTCTCCACAGAGCTACTTGTCTCCTTATGCTTTTTTCATAAATGCCACAGTTGCAAATTAAGGGAATCCACTGGGTTTTGCTTAGATGTGCAAGTCTCTATCTATTGCTAATTACACAAGTATATGAGCTGGTGGTGAGTGCTTCATCTATGCCTTGTGTGAGAGTCTGATGCTGTTCCTATTTGCCATTTCCCAGATGTAGTTTCACCAGAGGAGAGGGCAGCACTGCTTTCCAGCAGGACCACTGTGGGCTTTCCTGCAAAGGTCTTCCCTCCCATCTTTATCTCACCGGAGGCAGTAGGAAAACATTATATGGTAGCAGTTTCCTCTGAGGCTGTTAATACTGAGCTAACACACAAGGCCACTGTGGAGCTTGCAGGTGCTCCCTCTGCCTCAGTGGATGCAGACTTCTCCTCAGAAAGAGCACGGCTTTTACAGCACAGGACATGTATCAATTTCCCAAAGAGGGGCCCCTGGCCAGTCCTTGATGGCATTCAGACTGTGTCTCCTGATCCTGCTGTATCTGCTGTGTGGTCCAAGACTGCTGGTTGTGAAGCAGAGATCGAGGAGACTTCCTCCTCATCCACCTCAGACTCAGATTCTGACTCAGATTCTGATGGTGAGGAAGACAGAATTGAAGTTCATGTTGGTGTAAAAGGAAAGGAACCCTTGACTACATGGCTGGCTGGAGGTGCTGTAAAGGGGAGCCCCACACCTCATTCAACTTTAGATGAACCCCTGGCTGAGGAGAAGAAAACTCTGGCAGACACAGATATTGCACAGACTGCTGGTGACGTCTCCATCCTCTCCCATAGAGAAAGTCACCAGGGACAGACTGAAGACACAGGCAGTTCCTTGATGGCGGAAAGCACTGATGAACCAGATAAGATAATTGTTGTGGGAAGATGTGGTCCCAGATTTCCAGAGCAGCCTGGCCCCAAAGATATGAAACAGGGGTTAGTGCCCACAATTCCAAAGTTTTCCATAACTACTGAACAAGGAATGAAGAAGCTGTCACAGAGTGAGATCGTTTTTGACATCCCTGTGTCTCCCCATGATTCTGGGACAGAAGCCAGTCCCGAAGCTAAGCCTGCAGATACGATTGAAGTCCTTGCAGATCTGGCCCCAGTCACTGAGAGCACTGCTGTAGAAGGATCATTAGCAGAAACAATGGCTTTAGCAGGAGCTGAAGATGCGCAACAGGGTACTCAAACAGAACTGTTTAATTATTTTCTTTTGTTGAATTCTGCTGCCTCTAAAATTAATATGTGCAACCTCAAGAAGCATGTAGTAATAACTACAAATATAGGTTGTGAAAGAAGATTATATAATTAATTATCTTTAGCAACTTCACATTAAGCCTGTGAAGCCTACAGTCCATGTGGGATTGCAAATGTATTTACCAGATGATTCAATTCCGAGTACAGTCTTTTGTTTACAGAATATGTTTCTGTTTTGTCTTTATTTTTTAAATATTTACTTACTATTATTTTACAATATTCCAAAGAAGTGGACAGTATCTATTAGCATTTCATTTAAAAAATAAAAATGCAGGTTACTAGGCTATTCTAAAAACTGACATTTAAAATGTTTCCTGTGGAACTGAGAAACTGGTGAGTATTTTGCTCAAATCAAGAACATGATTGAAAATATTAGGTCTTCTAATCAAAACCCACAGTTAAACTGTTTAATGCCTGCTGGTAAAAAGCAAATTAGCTATAAAGGGATAATCTGATTATTTAATGACCCCAGAATACAATGCTAGATTGTTACAGTAAGTGCAATAGATCTTCCACATTTATCGTGGATTTAACCCATATACAGTGGATATAGAGTATATTAATATAGAGATATCCCAGTCCTTGCAAACATGTTGCATTTAAATTTGCTTCACACATTTCATCAGTAAATAAGTCCTTTAGGCCTATATGGCAATATGATTGCCTGTTAGTACATTTGATTAGTTTTGAATTATTTAACAAATAACTTAATTGCCTTCATCACTTCTAATTTCTGTCTGCTTGATTGCTTGTAATTAAATTGTCTTGGCTTTAGTAGTAGATCCTTATTCTGAAGAATGTGCAGTGGATTTACACACCCTTATTGAAATTGCATTTTGTGATGTAAAGCCAGAAATCAAAATCAGATATTTTTCCATCTTTAATGTGACCTTTCATCCAACAAAATTAAAAATTAAAAACAAATAGATAATTATTAGGAAAAATAATTGAAATTAAAAAACCTACAACACCCTGGTTGCATAAGTGCACACACCCCCAACTAATACTTTGTGATAGCACCTTTTGCATTTATTACATCTTTAGGTCATTCCACAGGTTTCCTATGGGACTGAGGTCTGTGCTCTGAATGGGCCATTCCAAGACTTTGACCTTCCTTTTCTAAAGCCATTCCTTGGTTGACTTGGATGTGTGCTTTGAGTCGTTATATTGGAAGGTGAAATTCATCTTCATCTTCAGCTTTCTGACAGAGGCCAGCAGGTTTTGTGACAAAATATCTTGATAATTGGAGCTAGTCATTATCCCATCTATCTTGACTAGATCCCCTGTCCCAGCTGAAGAGAAGCAGCCCCAAAGCATGATCCGGCCACCACCATCCTTCACAGGATAGATCAACGTTTCAAGAAAATCCTACAGGAACAGCTGATTTTTATTTGGGGTTTATCAGAATCACTTTCATTGATGGGAGGTGTATGCTACTTACTTTTGGACATGATTTTGAATGTGATTGGTTAACACCGCTAAAGCCCCCATTATAGAAGAGTGTGCACACTTATGCAACCAGAGTGTTGTAGGTTTTGTAATTTCAATTATTTTTCCTAATAAATATCTATTTGTTTTTCTCTTGAATTTTGTTGGTTGCAAGGCCACGTTAAAGATGGAAAATGTCTGACATGATTTATCTTGATTTCTGGCTTTATATCACAAAAACCTGAAATTTCAATAAGGGTGTGTAGACTTTTTATATCCACTGTAGTTTTTGTTTCATTCAGAAAAGTGTTTTAGAGCTTTCTCACTCTTTGCTGCCTTACCTCTCATCTGTGTTGACTCTCATTTGTTTTAAGAAACACAAGACAAGTCCTCCGACTCCTAATTGCAGTCCAGGTACTGACTAACTTTGGAACCCTCAGACGATCAAGCATCAGGCAATAGAACATAAGTAAAGCAAGAGTAAACACTTGGAGCTAACTTTTATTTTACTGCACCTCAGATGGCTTTCTTTTGTTGTGCTGCTTCCAACACTTTCTATTTTGTGACATTTTATCTGCTTAGCAGTTGGGGGCCAGAGCTGAGATGGGTTCCATTGTTTGATCAGAGCTCTTCCTTTCTTTGTGCTAAGACTTCAAAGTGTTGACTTCTGCCGGGAGGAGTATTGTGTTAAGAACCAGTACTTCATGAGGAACTCACGGGCTTTTGTGTAGGGTGTGAATCTTACCTTTTGCATGTATTACTGTTGTCTCTTTGTAGTTTCATCGGCTTAAACTGCTATCCACCTCTTCTTTTGAGTTATATCTGCTGTTGTTAGTTGAGGTATCCCATCTCAGATGTTCCCAGATGCCCCTGACTTCTAGTTGAATCAATCCTGTGTTGTGTCACTGTGTAAATCAGCATTGCGGTGTGATTGACCAACTATTAGTTTTCAGCAGGACAGTATATATTACAATGCTCTTCTCTGTTGTTAGACCTTTAGCACATTACTAGTTTTGTATATTTTTAAAATATTTTTTTATTTATTTTAAAATTAGCTGGTCTTATTAGAAAATGTACCTCCTGTTTCTTCCAACATAAGTGAAGGTGAGATTTAATTGACATTCCTATATTTTTATATTTCAGGTTTTATTTTGTTTGTTCTGTAAATAGCTTGATTCTGTTTCAACTAGCACTTTGCTCAAATTGTATTTTTAATGTGCCTTTGGTGCTTGGATATTTCTTGAATTTTAAGGTCTTTTTCTTTTCTTCTTTCAGAAACTATGACTCCCACTCCTGGAGAACCAGAGTTTGATAACACCACTTACAAGAATACACAGCACTATCAGTACACCCCCTACACCTTCACTGACTACGATGTGGAGATGGCCAAGTACCGACTGCCACAGCCTTCGAGTGGCAGGCCCTCCCCCCGCCACTGAGGAATGAATGAACTTCATATCGGCACCTTTCTGACCGTGACTATATATGTGCAAATAAAGTCTATAGATTTACTCCTGTAGCTTTTGTTTTGCTTGTGTTGCCTCACCTGTTCAGAAAACATTTTTTCTGTTCCTATTCATGTGGTGGTGAGTTCATAAACTTCTCTTTAAAACATGCAAACAATGGATTTGTGTTTTCTAGTGTTGTGTTGTCAGCTCTTAAGCAGTAAAGGGTGTGCGCTCATGGGAGCACTCTGTATCAGTCATAGCTGCTGGAGCAAGCTATGACTGAGCAAATGTCAATTGTAACTCCATGACAACACCATCTGAATGATTTTTTCTGTGACAGAATGTGAATAATGAAAGGTTAGAGGGCACATTCAGAACATGGTCTTAGAATTTAATGAGATCACCTTTGCTGAATTGATTATAGAGACTTAATCTCTGACAGCACTTTGGCTAAAAGAGGAATGGAGCTTTGTTGAGCTCTCAGCACATTGCTTAAATACTTAAAAGGATCAAAATTAGTGTTTGTATGGCCAAGGCAGAAGTGTGAAGATAGCACACTGATTATTACACAACTCTCTAATTTGGTTCTTTGTCTGTTATTTCTCCACTTATTTTTCTACTGGATCTGTGTCGCAAGCTAGGCTCCGATCCAGGAGAACATGGAGATTTTGCTTGCTAGTTGATGGTGTTATAGAGACCCATAGAAGTCCTGTTTGAAATATCTGACATGATTTTAGGCAAAAAAAATGGTTTTGGTTTAGAGTGAACTACCACACATAGTTCAGATAGTTTTGCAAAGAGAGAGCTATTTTTTTCTCAGAGCTTTAGCCAATATGGATAACAGGCTACAAGAGTGGTGACCTGACTTTCATGCCTAGTGAACTCCCCAGAGGGTTCCCATTGTTAAAATCAAAATGGTATGTTACATTCATAATGATCTACATTGCATTTGTAACTCAGCACTTGTAGCTAGCTTGCCCATGGTGCCTGAGGTGCTACTACTGTACATCTAAGGGGGAAGACAGGAATTCTAAATGTATTTTATTTTAGTGCTGTTAAAAGGTTTAAGTGTCTTTGGTAAGTTGAAAAAGTTAAAGGACTATTTTAAAACCCTAACCTTCTGTCACATTTACCACTTGTTCAATAAGGAAAAACAGTTTAAACATTGACTATTAACTAGGAATACTAAAAAAGTTCACATAGACATTAACGTTTTCTGAATATAGCCTACAATATCTCAAAATGTAAGCTGAACAAGCAAGTGGATTGTAAACACAAATCACATTCAAAAAAGGTATAATTTTATTCAATTTCCTGGAAGTTTAAATCCAAATGCAAGGTATGTTACATTTATTGTTATTGTGGAAGACCCATTGATGATTAGTGATGCCAGCCATAAGGGAACAATATCTGCATTTGTGTGCAAGTCCATATAGTGTGTAGCAGTATTCCATTGTGTTGTAATGGTAACAGATCAGAGTTCTACACTACCTTAATGTTCAGGTTCCTTTTTCTAAGGTAATATAAGCGGTGACAAATGTTTGTCATGCACTGTAACTGCATATAGATCAAATGTCAACTGAGCACCCTTTTCTATATCATATCGCACATGTGTAATTCAAGTATTTTCAAGATTCAATATTTTTTATAACAACAAGAGTATTGGAATGCTTACTCTTTCAGCTGTACCCAGTAATATTAAAAAAAAAATAGGCACAAATGACAAACAGACATGGACAATAAATTTAGAGAATATATGTTATAATACAGGCAAGACAGGACATAGTGCAAACAGTGTAGTACCTTAAAGTGCAGGTGCTAATTTGAGCTGTTTATGATTGGGTGGAATAAACTGTTGGTCAATTGGTCTGTGTTCTAATACTGCAATACCTCTTACCAGAACCCAGGGGTGAAAACAGATCATGGCCAGGGTCAACTGGGTCCCAATGTATAGCTCAAGTATAGCTATAGTTGTGGCAGCGGTCGAGATGTATCTGGTCGATGGAGGGTAGCTCGGTCCCAATGTTTTACTGCGAGGACCTCACAAGCCTTTGTATGGCTTTTCTGTCCTGTACTGTGGCTCCACCATACCACACTGGAAGGCCACTCTCAGTGGTATTACAGTAAAAATTGGTGAGTGTTGTCTTGCTCATCCCCCACTTCCTTAACTGTCTCAGGAAGTGAAGGCGCTGGTGGGCTTTAGTGAGGATGGCAGCAGTGTTCTTTGACCAGCTCAGCCTCTCAGTGATCTGGAGGCCATGGAACCTGAAGGGGCTGACAGTTTTAACTGGAGCCCTGTGAATGAGGATCGGTGTGTGAAGTCCTCCATATCTCCTGAAGTCCACAATAATCCCTTTTGTTTTGCCGATGATAAGTGTGGGGTTGTTGTGGCACCACTCCACCAGCTCTTCTACCTTGCTCCTGTAGGTGGTTTCATCATTGTTGCTGATAAGACAGATTACTGTGGGGTCATCAGCAAACTTTATGATGCGGCTGCTGTTAAATCTAGCCACACAGTCATGTGTTATAGAGAATACAGCCATGGGCTCAGGCAGCAGCCCTGGGGGCCCCTGTGTTGAGGATCAGAGGGGATGATATTTTGTTTCCAATCCTCACCACTTGGGGTCTGCCTGTCAGGAAGTCCAGGACCCAGTTGCAGATGGCGTTGTTGAGGCCCAGACCCCTGAGTTTGACCACCAGCCTGCCTGGCACAATTGTGTTGAAGGCTGAGCTGAAGTCAATAAATAACATCCTGGCATAGGTTTTCCTCTAGTCCAGGTGCTCAAGAGTGGTGTGAAGAGCCAGTGAGACAGCATCGTGTACTGACCTATTATTCCTATAAGCAAACTCCAGGGATCCAGGGAGTCCGGGACAATACTGTCGATGTGTCCCCTCACCAGTTTCTCCATGCACTTCATGACTACTGAGGTGACTTCCACCAGGCGGTAGTCATTCAGACATGACAACTTGGTTGCTTTAGGCTGTGGCACGACAGTAGTTCTTTTGAAGCACAGTGGGACAGTAGACAGGGATAGTAACGTGATAAATATTACAGTAAAGACAGGGGCCAGCTGTTCTCTGCATGCCTTTAAAACACAGGGGGATGGGATGCCATCAGGGCTGGCAGCCTTGCGTGGGTTCACCTTTCCGAAAGCTTTCTGTACCTCCTGTTCAGACAGCTGCAGCACAAATTCCCCAGGCTCAATGGGCGTTTTGTGTGAAGCGTCAAACCTCGCATTGAAGTTGTTTAGTTGGTCAGGCAGTGAATCATCAGCTGTTGTTATAACCTATTTGTCCTTTGTAATTAGTGATAGCCTTCAGGCCATTCCAGAGGTGCATTGTGTTAATGCCCCCACATTGTGATTCAAGCCTGTCTCTGTAGTCCCCTTTCGCATGTCTGATGGCCCTCTCCAAGTCATACCTGGCTTTCCTGTACAGCCCAAGATCTCCAGAGTTAAAGACCACAAATATATGAATGTATAAAGGAGCTTTTAAATGAACCGTTTCACTATCTGACCAGCTCTGGTAGCTTACTGATCCCAGTAAATCTGCTTCAATAACAAAGAAGGACAGTGTGGTTCCAGGCATCCAGAACCCCTAATTTTCAATCTTAAATCTGCATTTTCTTAGTCCTTATTGCTTTCACTGTTAATTGGCTTTAGGATTCAGTTAGATACTAACAGAAGTATGAAAATAAATCACACAAAAATAACTGAATATTAAATCTTCTAATATATAAAAATTGATTGGTTAGCATCTAAACTATTTCAGTCCTGAAGCAAACAATTTGAAATATAATTCCATTTAGAAAAACTGTTCCATTTGAATTTTTATGACTATAAAAACATATTCATACCTTAATTACAACATGGTGATTTTTAAAAACCTTTTGTCTGTAGACAAATTATTTTGAATAATTCTCATGCCTACTACTGTATAATGCGCTTGAATCATTTGGCTATGATTTTTAGCGAGTTTCACACTCTTAATTCAATAATGAAATGTTGCTCAACCTAGAGACATCTAAACAATCACATAAACATCACATTATAGTGTTAATTGTAATCCTCCAGAGCAACGGATAAGCTACGAACTGCTCATGCTGTTTCTGTTGATGAACGTGAAACTGCTTATGAGGTGAGTATATAAACAAGGGATCCGGTTTTTGGATCTTTGGAAGTCAGTGTAAGCATTAACATTTTGTGTTTCTACAAAACGAATCAGAGAGTTTGTTGCAGATAACAGGTAGCTGGTCCGAAGAATATATAAAGAATAACACCAATTCCAGCTGCTCACAACAGTTATTGTCATTGTCGTTATTTGAGCGAAGCTTTTGTCTAGGCTTAGGGTAACAATACGGTCAGGTCACTTCGTGGCATAGTTACACATCAGTCAGAACGTCGTCCAAGTACAGTAGGACTGTAGTGGAAACTGTTGGTGTCTAGTCTAGTCACAAACCTTTTTTTCCCATTTTGTTCTTATAACAGTATATAAAAACAACGCATTCTACAACAGAAAAACATAACCTGGGGTCTACGGATTAGAAAATGTGTTAATATATAATTAATTCACTGCACATAGAAGCTAGAAATCTATATTAAAAACACGTTTCAAAGACTAAATTTTAAACTGCATATTACTGAATTGTTTGTAACATTTTCAAAGAGCTGATATACTGATATACTGTCAGTAACTGCTTTATTTTAAAGAAGGCCGCGATGAGCCAGAGCCTGACACGGTAGACATCTGGTGCGAGTCAGCTGCAGGACACATCTAAGTCTTCACTCACGTTAACACCAACTAAAACTAGCACGTTTTGGGTTTTTGGACTATGTGAAACTAAAATGTAAACACAGGAATGTCGTTTAAAATCTGCAAACAAAATGCAGATAGGATTATTCTCAAATTAACCAGTAAATCTCTGAGCCACGTACTGCAGTGCTAGCTTGTTCCTGCAGTACAGAGAAGACTCGTGTCATCGCATCCGCTCCCGGGTCGTGCGCGTGCGCGTGCACGCCATACGTCATCCCTCCTCCCACCTTATCCCGTGAGCTGCGTGCCCGCGGCGCGATGACGCCACGCGGCGGCTGCGGGTCCCGATTGCTGCAGCCGCTTGTCAGTGTGACGAAGATTGGCACCCAGGTAAGCTGTCACTCAAAATCCTCTTTTTCCGCTCACTATCAATCAAATATCGCGCAGAAAAGCGCCGTCGGCCCTATCGCAAGTACCAGGGCATAGTAGGGAGGTGGCTCGGAGTGGGTCAGCGTGAGGGTACAAAACGCCCTACGTTTTTGAACAAGGGGAGAAAAATATGTCCGGTTTGAGCGTCTTTTTCAAGGGAAATTTCTGGAAAAGCGAGGGAGCTGCTGGCAAGGCCTCGTTGCTGTTGCTCGGCGCAGCGAGGAGGGCAGGGCTAGGCAGCTGCCCGGCTTGATTGATGGAGGCACAGGGGGCAGGTTTCTCCTCAACGTTAAAGGGACAGGGGCGAATTTTCTCCGTGTCGGTCGTGTTTATGTGCCGGATGCGGCCTGGCCGGGTTTGTCTGGGCAGAGCGGTCGAGGCCCGGGGCTGGTTGTGGCGGACGTTGCGGCGCGAAACATGGCGCTTAGAAAACCCCTCCGTAACACACCGAGACGTGAATCAACAAGACGCCCTTCCAGTGTCCAGCGTTATGACTTGCAGCGTATGAAAGGCATAAAAAATGAACCATGAACCCATAGTTCTCTGAAAAGTCTAAATAGGCACCGAGCATCTACGAAGTTTCTTTAGAGGAGCTTATGAATTAACTTTTCACCAGAATTTAGCAGGGCGCCCCTTAAAATGGGGGTAGGTTTACAGGAAGCAGCTGATGGGACATATTGGACAGTAAAAAAAAAAACTGTTAGCAGCACACAGTAAATTCGTAAATGAAACACCTGAATGAAACGCACAGCCTTACAAAATGCAGGCATAGAGATAAACAATTTGCATGTTTTATACGTTGTTGCTTTTTTACATCCTCGTTTGTTGACACTGTTAAAAGGCACACTAATAGATTGCTTGATTGAAATCCAAATACGAGGAACAATACAAAGTTTCTTCATAATATCAGGGTGCGTTATCAGTTTTTGCTTTTTATGATGTAACTTAATGGATGTATTTTTCTATACCGCCTTGTACGCTTCGTGCTCCTGCTGAAGCATTTCCCTTTAAGGGCCAGTCTCCCGCTTTCCTCATAAGGACTGAGGTTTGTGATCGAGTTTCAGTCTGGCTTCATTATCGAGGACTGACGTAGTTAAGCTGTGAGGCATTAAGATCGGGGATCTAGTTACACTCCGTAACACTGATTTTGTTTTCTTTATTTTTTCAAGGAGCATACATTTTAGATAGAAAAGCTTAATGCTTATAACTGCACGTCCTGTTCAAATTAAATATTCTGACTTTCGTCATTACAATTTCCCTATTTAAATTTCAAAATGGATTGAAAAGGCGCCACTCTTGTTACTCTCTCAAATGACCAACTATGGAAAATTCCAGATCTCAACATTAGAACATCTGTTGCAGTTTGTACAAGATTTATGGATGATATGTCTGCTATACATATAGAGACAGATCACTTTATTGGCCAAGTTTTCACTTACAAGGAATTTGACTTGGTGAGTTGCTCATACACTATACACATACAGACATACCATATATACATTTCAGAAATTAAAGGAAAAATATATATTGCACCTCAAGAATGTGTCAGAACTCTACTTTTGTGTGATAACCCCATTCGTATGTACATATTTGTAAATGATAAATTAACTGTCCATACTATACATATCCATATACAGACAATATTATTAATGCACATAATGCCGTGGTTGAAAACTAAGTAATCAATATTCAATTTTAATAACACAATTTAAGTAACTTTCAGTGATTAATAGGGGTGATTAATAAGAGTCACTGCCTGAGGAAAAAAGCTGGTACTTGTATCTGTGAGCAGTGTTGGAAATGTTGCCATTAGATCTCTGTGTCTGACTGGCCATCACATGGCAAATGTTGTGATCAGAAGGGAAAGTGAAAAGAATGAAGCTCACCTGCCTGAGGAAAAAAGCTGTTTTTGTGTCTTGTGGTCCTGGTGCTAACTGACCTAAATCTTTTCTCTGATGGGAGACATTGAAAAATATGATGGCCAGGGTGAGAGGAGTCAGCAATGATCCTGCCAGCATGCTTCTTAGTCCTGGAGATGTAAAGGTCCTGGAGGACAGGCAGGTCACAGCCTATGATTACAGCAAAAACAAACTTTTTGGTTGAGATACATTTAATCTGTGGATGGAAATATAAATTCAGACATGGATAAAACATTGACATTTTCTGAGAAAATGTTGTAGTCAAGTTTGAGGTACTAGTTTTAGTTGCAATGACACATTCTCCTCTGTTGAAAAGGAAGGTTGATGTGTGGTTATAATTGCCCTTGGCATCGCTGACTGCACCAGTCTTGAAAGTGGTCAACTTTCATGCCGAGAGTTTAGATGACAGTTGTCGACCGAACGGAAAAGTATTAAAGTTATGCATTTTATGTTACCCATGTGTGATTTTTTTAAAGTTCTGTATGGCTGTATCAAAGTGCTTAGTGATAACTTTGGCTCCAGAGCTACAATCAAGTATGTTGCTTCTGAAAAGAATTTTGGGATTTGGGATGTTGTTCTTCTTAGCATTTTTGGCGTTTCCAAGGCCACATCTGAATTGACTCTATGCCCACTGGTGATGTGCTTGAATTAAATGCTCAGGGCAGATGCACATAATTGAAGTTCTTTAGAAATGGATCACAGAATACAGTATTTTACAGAAATACACAGGAAGGTATGTGGTAACTCATAACATGATCTCAACAAATTTCAGAAACACAGAACACTGTTATCCCTCCATTCATTTATTAAGTTATTGTCTGTCAAAACAGTTCTTAACTGGATGTTAAGCCACATGTGGCAATGGTGCTATATCAATCCAACCATCTTAAAGAGCCTCTGTATGTTCTTCAGGTGTCCTCTAGATAGACTTGAATTAGGACAGGTGTTGAACATAGGGTTCAGAGGTGACATTGATTAATAACCTTATACGCATTCTTGTGAACCGGAAAAGGATCTTAATTGATTACATAACATGACCTATTGAAAGTTCTATTGAAAATAAGATAAGGGTCCTTCAGGGCCAGGGTTGATAAGCACTACTGTAGGAGGTGCTGGCCTTTTGCCAAGTTTTAAAATTGATGTCCTGGGTACTTGGTCATTTAAGATCCTGTAAGAGTAAATGTAAGTTACTCTCATTTTAGTTGGAGAATAAGTTTTTCACTCTTCCGCCTGATCTGCTGTGTAGTGGGGATGTTGGTGCAGAATGTCTGATGTGCGTCACCTGTGTCTGATGCGCTCCAGAGATCGATGAACTGGATCCCTTCTAACACGTAAAGGGCTTTGCAATCCCTTAGCTTGACAAAAGCAAAATTCTGTTATTGTGTAATACATATTTATATTGGGTATTACTTTAATCTATAATTATACATAATAGAAATAGCTTTATGTTTATATTTAGCAGCCATATCACCCTGCAAGTCACAACTGACAACCCACTGAAGCTAAGCAGATGTGAGCCTGGTCAGTAGCTGGATGGAAGACCTCTTGAGAAAAACTAAGGTTGCTGCTGTAAGTGGTGTTAGTGGGGCCAGTAGGGGGCGCTCACCTTGAAGTCTGTGAGGGTCCTAATGCCCCAGTATAGTGATGGGGACACTAAACTGTAGAATGCCACCATTCTTCAGATGAGACGTAAAACCGTGGTCCTGACTCTCTTAGGTCATTAAAAATCCCAGGACGCTTCTAGAAAAATTAGGGGTGTTACCCCAGCATCCTGGCCAAATTTCCCTTTGGCCTTTACCAATTATGGCCTCTCTCCATCTATGAATTAGTTTCATCACTTTGTTCTCCTCCCCACTGAAAACTGATTTGTGGTAAGTATACTGGCACACTATGGCTGCCATCACATCCTCCAGGTGGATGCTGCACATTGGTGGTGGTGGAGGGGATTTCCCATTACTAGTAAAGCACTTTAAGTGGAGTGTCCAGAAAAGTGCTATATAAGTGTAAGGAATTATGATGATGATGATGTCAGTTGACCCAATTCCAGCACATTTGACCTTTACATCACCTGTTTACCTGACTGCTGTCTCAAGTAGTGTGTTATGAATTATGTAATCCAAAAGCCTAGCTTGTGAAAGCATTGTGGGGCAGAGTGGTCCTAGCAGCCCGTATGTCTTACCAGGTTTCGGTGGGGTGTGTGTGATTTTGCCTGACAGTTTGGGAAAGGAGTGGGTAAAAAATGGCTTAAACCTGTTACAATCAGGATAAGACATGATACCTATTCGCAGATCTAGGTCGTAGATCGTAGATCCACTGGTCCTTTTTGCTCACTTACAGCGACTAGCTCCTTCAGTATTAATTGGACTGATAAGAGGCCTCCTGTAGTGTGTTATGAGAATCATGTATTATTTTTAGAAAAATTAATACAATACCAAACTTTATATATGGTACAGTGCACACGCTAGGGTTTACTTGCAGGGAGAGTTATAAGCTGATAAAATTACAAGCTTTGCCCAGAAACTGTGTCTATCAGTTATAGTCTGAATGATTATCAATCCAGCAATTTTATGTCAGAATCTTGGGAACATTAGCTTAGTTCCTAAACCACATCATCTTACTATCTTTGTGCTTAACTGGTGACTCAACCTATTAAAAGCCCACATTTTTTACTGATATACCTCACTGTAGCAATGTATTATTAAACTGGAAAATCGCATCACGTTGTAATGGCTTAGCTTACTGGCAGTTCAAGCTTCACTCAAAAAGACTGTTATTTATAAATCTGTGAGGTCATCCCTTATGGGACTCCAGCCCATCTTAGAACGCAAGTTTTTGATGTTATGCAGTGCCATTTGTAATGTATTTTTTAAAGAAATAATTGTGTAACAAGTACATTAAGTATGATAGCTATTTAAATAAACATCAGATGCAAAATACGTTCGGTTTAGTAGTTTGTTTTTACATTGAGCACCTTCACTCATTAAGCTTTACAGCAGTTATGGCTAACGAGTTAGGCCTGAATTTTGACTAATTTTTTTACCT